GCCTGGCCCTGGCTGTCCCCACTGGGAGGGCTCTGGGAGATGTGGCACCAGGTGCAGCACCGGGTGGTCCCTGCACTGGGGCCCAACCCCAGGGCTTGGATCTTGGAGCTGCCCAAGCTGCCTGTGCCAGCCCTGGAAGCTGAGGAGACTGCTGGGAGGCATCCCAGAATCCCAGGAAGGTTTGGGTGGGAAGGGACCTTAAAGCTCCTCCAGTCCCACCCCCTGCAATGGCAGGGACCCCTCCCAGCAGCCCAGGTTGCTCCAAGCCCCATCCTACCTGCCCTTCAACACTGCCAGGGATGGGGCAGCCACAGCTTCCCTGGGCAACCTGGGCCAGGCTCTCACCACCCTCACAGCCCAGAATTTCTCCCTCCCATCTCAGCTCCAGCTCCCTCTGCCAGCTGGAAACCCTTCCCCCTGCTCCCATCCCTCCCTGCCCTTGTCCCAAGCCCCTCCCCAGCTTTCCTGGAACCCCTTCAGGCACTGGAAGGTGCTCTCAGGTCTCCCTGGAGCCTTCTCTTCTCCAGGCTGAGAGGAAGATGGGGCAGGGGGTGGAAGGGGAGCTGGCAGTCTGTGACACACAGACTGTCACCAGTGTGCACTGGGATGGGTGCAGGGAAAAAGCTCAGTGGAGCAGAGCAGTTTAATCAAGAGGAAAAACGTCCCTGCCCTCTCAGTCACTGTCCCTGTGCTGAGGCAACAGCAGCACTGAGACTGTCCCAGCTGGGGATGGGGGGGACACAGGCCACCCGCCTGCTCCTTGTAGGAATGTGCAGCAGGGCTGTCATTGTCCCCCTGTCCAGAGAGGGTGGGGAATGCTGGGGTGAAAGGGAACAGCAAACACTGTCCAGCTGGAACTGGAGTGACCCAGAGAGCCTGAGCATCATGGGGTTACTTTGGCTGGAAAAGACCTTGGAGATCCTCCAGCCCACCCGTTCCCCCAGCCCTGCCCAGGCCCCACTGCCCCGGGTCCCTCAGCACCATCTGCAGGGCTTGGAAACCCCTGCAGGGATGGGGACTCCCCCCCTGCCCTGGGCAGCCTGGGCCAGGCCCTGACAACCCTTGCCAGGCAGGAATTGTTCCCCAGATCCAACCTCCACCTCCCCTGGCACAACTTGAGGCCGTTCCCTCTTGTCCCAGGGCTTGTTCCTGGGGAGCAGAGCCCGACCCCCC